GTTAAACTTCTTCCACAAAAATTTCTCATTTGATTTCCAAAGAGAAGTTCCTAGCTCTCCCTTCCTTTTGGAGGATGCAGCAAGGGGTGCTTTTTCACACAGAGTCTCTATTACTGCCAAATCGGTGAGTCTGCTGAGACTGTCGTCGTTCTGCTCGTTCAAGATGTCCCAGAAGTCTTTTGGTCTCTGTTTTGCTCTTTCCATGGGCCCTGAAAGAACTTTCTTTGGCAGTTGTGTGGGACCGTTCCCGTGACTATTAAAAAGGTCATCAAGAATAGAGGTGTCCCCGAGTAAGCCTACCACAGAAGTGTTTTCCAACACTGGATTTTCTATCTTTCTGTTTTCCAATTTAAAAAGGGATCCATCTCTTGAAACGCACATTCTTGTGAGGTCCTGTCGGTCTTCCACCGTATTTTCTAACTTTCTCTCATGCGCTTCAGACTTACAGTTCAGAGAACGCGTTGCTGCAGTGTCTTTGGATGGTTGGCTGCTGTCTCCACTGTCAATCTCTTGGGTAGAGCTAATAGGCAATTTCTTAGTTTCTGCATCATTGCAAAGCGCTTCTCTTCTACAGGAACCATAATTTTGAAACTTAATTGATTTTCCTTTATATATGTTTGGGCTGCAAATCTGAAAAATTTTATTGGTAGAATCTTTAAATGACAAAGTTTTAGAATTGGACAGCCTGTCTTTTATAAGAGATTCTCTTTTTTCAGATTTATTCCTGACCCTCTCTCCTTTCTCATAGGCAGATTTGATGAATTCTGAAGCAGAATCCACAAAAAATTCTTTCACCTCTGGATATTGAGAAGCATAAAAGTCTCTTAGCATTTTCTGTCGTTCTTCTGATGTGGCATTAGTTACATGTTTGGCCAATTCACTTACAGAAGAGAAGTTAAAGTAAGAGGCCATTTCTTCAAATTGTTTTCTAAAGATTTAATAAATAAAATCAGTTATTTTTATTACATCTTATTGTCAAAGAACTCATTAGTGATAGGACATGTATAGGCAAAGCAATGTAATCTTGTTCCTCTAGCATATGTCTACTTAATTCGATAATGAAAATGTATTTTGTCCTGGTAGAATGTGGTCTCTTTCCTTAGGCTACTGAAAAAAATATTTTAGCTCATGAAATCACCAGCTTCTTAAGTTATTCTGATTTATGCTATTAGGCATTTCCTCGGAATTATGGGATCCCAGCATGCTACTCCTCCAGTGAGCCAATTTATGACTGACGTGAGAATCATAGTTTATATAGTGTGTATTTGAAAATCTATATTGCATTCAAGTCCCCTGAAATAAAATTGTCAAAGAAGGGTCTTAATGAATAGAAAAGAGAAAATTCTGAAAAATTAAGTAGAAAGTTTTTTCTTCTCTTTTTTCCCTTCCACAAATACAACATAGAAATTTCACAAGACTTTTTAATGAGCCTAAAGGTAAGTTCTAAACTGATAAATTGGGATTCTTTTCCCCCCTAACTGGTCCTACTTCAGTACAGCTAAACTAATAAGTAAGACCGTGTTTGAAGAAGTGAGTTGCATTCTTCATATAAGATATTAATTAAAAGCTATTATATGCATGTATGAAGAAATGAGCCCCCTGGACCCCTGAACTGTGCCCACCCCAACATCATGTTGAAGCCCTAAACCCCAAGGTGACAGTATTTGGAGACACGACCTTTAGGAGGTAATTAAGGCTAAATGAGGTCATAACGGTAGGGCCCT